CAAACAAACAAAAAAAGAAATAGGTAAAGATATTAGCATTTGAGTATGTTTCCCCCAAAAGATTTTTCTCCTGTAAAATTTGCTCTGGAATCTTTCATGCTAGTCACATGGTTGCATGTATACCTGTGTATTGATGTGCATCTATAGCATCGTGATTACATTTCTTGTTGCTGAGACAAAAACACCTGATGCCCAAAATTAAGGGAAGAAAGGTTTACTTTGGCTCATAGTCTGTAGAGGTTGCAGTCAGTAATTGGCTGTCTCCAATTAGCAGAGGGGCATCACAGAAGAGGGAAAAAACTGTTCATGGTGGGGAGAAGGAAGCAAAGCAAACAAGAGACCTTGGCAGCTTCTTTCTGCTCCTTTTATACTCTATCTAGGCTACTGGGATTAGGGCAGTGCCGATCCAGTCAGTGGACTGATTTAGTAATCAACCACCCTTAATTCCAGCACCCTTAATCCTATCATTGCACCATGAATCAGTGACAAAGTCTAGATTCAGCCACCTCTGAAAAATCCCCAACTATGACTGCATGAGGTCTTGGGGGGACATCTAGACACAAGCCATAACATACAGTTATTTAAAAGTGTGTCATTGATATTTCCTTTTCATTAGTGAATATTACTTATACCAGTGCATGAATTTCATTTTGGCAGATTCATAAATGCATACATTATATTTTAATCATTTCCATACACTCACATCCACAATCTCCTTCCTGCTCCTTCCTCTCTACCCATTTTTCCTTTCCTCTGTAGTAATATCCCTCTTTTCCTTTTTGCCATCTCTGCTGTTTAAGGGTCTACCTATAAGAGAAAATATGCATTATTTGTCTTTCTGAGTCTGGTTTATTTTACTTGATGTGATGAATTCTAGTTCTATCTATTTTCCTACAAATGGTGTGATTCTGTTCTTGTTTATAGCTGTATAATTCTCCATTGAGTACATGTACCATATTTTCTTCATTTGTGTCTGAATGGGCACCTATGCTGACTACATACCTTAGCTATTATGAATTGGGTCTCTGTGATATACTGACATTACTCTTACAGTAAGTTACTGGGGAGAACAGTATAGCTAAGGGTTATTCCATTTCTTTGTGTCATTCAATAATGTGTAATAAATATTAGCTAAACTCTTAATTCTCCCTCTGTAAAAGATATATAGTATCGCATTACAGCTTAAAGTGTCCTGATAGGTAGGTACCTTTTAGATAGTTTGTAAGGCTTTATCCCTCTTATAACTGATATGATGATCAATAGTACAGTGAAATACTTAAATATTTATACAATCATTTTCATATGAGAAAATCCATGAGATAATGTGGTGATTGGAAGCAATGATAAAGAAAATGAGGAAAAGCATGAAAAGGACAAAGTGTAGTAGTAAGTACATGGTAAGTACATAGTAAGTTATCAGCAAATATTAAAGGTTAGGGATATATGTATATAACATAAAACAGAAGAGAAATAGATCTTACATGGGATAGATAATTACCCCGAATATAATCTTTATGTAAGATTGAGTTAGGTAGGCATGGTGGCACACGCCTGTAATTCCAGTACTCTGGGAGGCTGAGGCAGGAGGATTGCAAACTTCAAGCCTAGCCTGAACAAGTACTTTTTATTTTATAAACATAGATCATGCTAGCAAACAAAACAATTTAGGAAATCTGTAGAATGCAGAGTTAGCATGTGTTTCTGTGAAAAGGTCTCTGTAGCTAAGGGATGATAAAGAATAATCCAAATTTAAGAGTGAATCTCTATCTGTCTTGGGAGAGGTATAGGGGCCTTTGAGATTTTGCTTTTCCTGTTTCCCTCTGCTTCAGGCTCTACCCGCTGCTGGTGAGACACAGACATGTTCTAAGCCTTCACTTCTCCTACTGGGTGGGAATCCCTCATCTGGGCTCTCTTGACAGAGCTGCACCTTCAAGTGCAAGAACATAGAGGCACACACTACCATATAGGAACCATGCTGGCCGTGGGGTCTGTTCTGACCCCTGGGCTGAAGTGCTTGTATGACGAAGGGGTGGGGGAAAGTGCCCATTTTCCATTGGCATTCGCCCTCCCATTTGATATCTGCTGTGCATGTGCTGAGGTCTGCATGGTGCTAGAGAGAAGCAGCCGCAGAATGTGAGCTCACGCAGCACACTGGGATGCGGTGGGCTGAGACTGCAGCTCGTCATGCAATCCATTATGTGTCCAAGCAGGGCAGCTCCCACTGATCTCCATGGACAGGAGCCCTGTGAGAAGGCGGGCTCAGAATCACCAGGGTTCCAGTCTTCACGAGTAATGGCAAAATTGGATATTCAGATATCTCAGTTCCAAACAGGAATTATTAGTATGAAGGAAAGGCTGTAACATAAAATCCATGAGCTTAGAGTTAAGTCATGTTTTGAATTTGGATTAAAGTCTCATGTGAAATCATGGCATATTTTACTAAATGATGAATGAAAAAATAACACTGTCAAACTTTATTTTCTAGTTGTCTGCAGAAACAAAGATTAATCCAGTAGTAATGAACATATAAATCTCTGAGGTTATGCTGTCTAAATACCTGTTTCTGACCAAAAAAAAAAAAAAAAAAAAAATCTGAGGCTTCTCCCAAGAAATGGCTGATTTCAGGGTTTAAGTAGCACATATATAAGATAAACCTGACACATCTGCTTATCTGGAAGCAAGAAGCCCCTGAATACTACCATCAGGAGTTAACTTTGAGAGGCTTTTCTAACCAAAAGCAGAGCAGTTAGAAAATTAAGAAGAATAATACTGTGCATATACTAGAATGAAAGAAATCAAAATGTTTATAGTGGTCTTTTAAAAATAAAAACCTCATTGGATTAGAGACTACTAGATAACCAATTCAGCATTTTGAATATCAACAAAGGAGAAATATCAAGTATTTGGCAAATATCTCTATAAAATATAATTTAGGCTAAATAAGTGATGAGATGGAACTTCTCTCGGTGTCACATCAGGGTTAATGAATTGAAAAGGAATTAATAGAATTAGGGTTTCATCAGTTTGAAAACAAAACTTATAGTTAAATTGTAGACACTGTTATCTAGGTAAAGATTGCCAACAGTGATACCATCACAACAAAGATGTTTTGCGCCTCCTGCTAGAAGAACACCCCAAATGGTATGTAGAAAGATGAACCCACCCCTAAGATGTCCATCTTCTAATCTTAGAAAATCTGAACATGTTACAGTTCAAGGTGGAGTGGAATCACATTTGCAGGTAGATTTACGACTGCTGATGAGGTGATCTTAGAATGAGAAGACTATCCTGAGTCATCCAGGTATTCTCCATGAAATCACAAAGGTCCTTGAAATTAAAGGGCACAGAAGATTTAAGGTCAGAAGGATGGACTATTAAAAAATGGTCTCAATCTACCATCACTGACTTTGAAGCTAGAGAGGGCCCATAGACCCAGAAATGTGAGTAGCCTCCATAGGCTAGAAAAACCAAAGAAAAAGATCTTAGAGATCTACCCCTCCAACTCCTTTATTTTACCTTTTTTCTTTCTTTAGCCCAGTGAGTCTTGACTTAGAACTCCAACTTACAGAACTGTAAGATAATAAATGTGTATTCTTTAAACCATTAAGTTTATGGAATTTTTTTGCCTTAACAGTTAAATAAACCTTACTTCCTATGATATATTCTTACTGGAAAATAGACGGAATCTAATTAAGTGTCTGGTATTTTAAGTGCAACTACTAGTTTATAGGAAGTGAAGTAGCCAGAGGAAGATGTGAAGTTATGGGCATGTTTAGCAAAATGTAAATTCTGGGAAACTCTGCTAGAAAAATAACATTCACTTTGCCAAACAGAGCACTTGGGGGTGTGTATGTATATAAGAGAAAACTTTGGGAGAGTTTGGGAAATCACCTAACATTTTACATACCACCAAGCTATAGTAGAAAACATCACTCAAATAAGCAAATTATATATAGAAAAAATGTGAGTGTAATGTGAACCCTGAAACTGAGTGTTTGATATTAACAAAAGAGTCTCTGTTACTATTTGACACTGGGTGTTTGATAATGAGGAATTTTTTGAGGGGGATAACATACATGATGTTGTTTTCAGTTTTAAACAAAAAACAAAAGGGTAAGAAGAAGTTGGTGGGTGGGGTAGTAGATAACAGCAGCCACTGAAGAAGTCCATCTGTCACTTCTGTGTTCCTCTTTTACTTTTCAGGGCCTTTGTGATTTTATTAAGCAAATTTGGATCATTCAGGACAATGTCTGCATTTTTTAAGATCACCTGATTAGCAATCACAATTCTATCTGCAAACTTAGTTCATTTTAGCCATAGACTATGACATATTCAGAGGTTCTGCCATGACAACTTGGCCGTCTTTGGGATGGGGGCCATCTTTCTGCCTACCACACAGGCTGTTCTTGTATCAAAAAACACAAAGTGTCTCTGTCATAATGTCATCAGCTGTACAAAGGTGCTCCTTATCTTTTTTATGTATATTTTAATATGAACATAACACAATGATAAAGCAAATTGATTGTTAATAATTTGACATTTTGCATGTTTTGTGATTCAGAGGCTAGATTGATGTCCAAAGGCTAGATTTGACCAGCAAGCTACCAGTGTGAAATCTCTGTCTCAAATATTGAAAACACGGTCACTCCTTTTAACCTGGAGAATCGTCCTGTTCTTTCTTCCAAGTCCCCTGTTGCCTCCCTTCCCTCTGTGCTTCCTAGCTATACAGGCCGCCTTTTTCTTTGCAAGTCACTGACTTGGGGGCATTACAAATTGCTTGAAATAGAATTTTCTCAGAATAAATGAGCAAAAGGAATAATATGCATAATTGTATTGAACAATGCCTCCTAGTATTTTATGTGTTCATTTGGACTGCCCTCATTTCGTTCCTTCAAATATTGAAAAAAAGCAATAACTTTGTTTCAATTTTTGACAGCCTGAGGTATTTTGAAATTTGGGCTAAGCACATTTTCCCTGTTATCTCTGTGTCTCTATTTCAGGATGGAATGGGAAACTTGAGAATCACGGAAAAAGGTCTAAAGCTAGAAGGAGACTCAGAATTCTTACAGCCTCTCTACGCCAAAGAAATCCAGTCCAGACCAGTAAGTTAAGGCTGACAACAGAAAAAAAAAATCTTATTCCTCTGAAATCTAAATTTGGGAGCGTTTATCTTGCTATTGGCTGATACTAAAGGTTGAGGGGGTTGCTGGTAATGAGATAAATTTATATTCAGATCTGAATGTTTGAGTTGTAATCACAGCCATCGTTCTGTAAGCAAGTGTTTGACCTCGCTGAGCCTCTGTCTTTTCCTGGCAAATAGAGGGTAACAACTCAAGCTCACCATCTGCATAGATTATGCTGCAAACCAGGCAAAATACAGTGAATTTGGAAAATTCTTAAGCCCAATACACATGCTAAATAATATTGCTGTTACTTTTAATTATCAAGTGTTTCAAAGCCATCTTTGGAAATACAGAACTGAACAATTAGCATTTTGTTTTTCATTAACAGTTTGGACTCTGCAGCCCTTGTTGGTTAGAATCAATTCATTATTAACACCTATGATTTGAAATGGTATTTAACTAATTACTGCAGAATGCACCTGTTTAAGGTATATTTATGCTTTCCATGCATTATCTAATTTAAATCACAAATTGGTCCACACAGGTGGGAGCTATTGTTGCCTTCATTTTACAGAAAAAGTACTGAGGCTTATGGAATACATCCAAAGCCTCGTATTAATGAATTAGTAGGGAAAATATTTCAATTCAGAAATGCAATTCTAAAGCATTTTTCTTAACCACAATTTCTAAGTAAGTTTCTCTTTTATTGCTCTTTTCTTTTTTATCATGGTAAAAGTAATTGCTATATACCTTTCTTTTATTAACCAGTATTGTCAAAATTAATTTTTAGAGTGAAGTTTACTTTTTTACTGGTGGTGTTTGGTTTTATTCCTTAAGAGTTTTTTTTTTTGTGTGTGTGTGTGTATGAGTTGATGGAATTTGTTAGTTGAAAAATCTTAGTAATGTGTTTGTTTTCTGGCTGGGATTAAATTCTGTCCACCTGCAAGCAAAACGTAACATGAAAGTGCCCCAAAGTATCGTTTGCATCATGTGTATTAATTAGTGCAATCAATGAACATTCTGGTTCTATTTTAGGAGAGAGAAGTAAGTAAATTTATAGTCAGATCAGTAGTCACATTCACTTTAATACAGTTAAAGACTTTAGATAGCGCTCAGGTAAAATTATCCACCTGCACTGAGTTGCTAAATTTCATTGCTTTGCTATTTTTAAAAATAGCAAATCAATTCAGTCATACAATGATTATTTATAAAATTTAACTGGAAGCCATGGTACGTTGGGTTGGACCCGTACAGGAGTAAGTGTTGTGAATATACTCATTCTCCCTGAGGAACTTTCACCCTAGAATGAACAATGAGGTGTCTGTATAACGAGGGTGATTGGGGGTTAATTCTGCTTTGGGCTGAATACAGGCAACGTCATGGATTTAAAACTTTCCACGTTGTATCAGTCAGGGTTCACTAGAGAAACAGATATAACACAGGATAGACAAATGTGCAAGAAATTACAAGTTTGGCTTACAATGTTCAGCCACAGAGTTGGATGAGGAAGTATGCAGAGGGTGTCTGTACGCTGGAGATTGAAGAGCCCAGCCCCAGGCCTAGAGCTCACTGCAGTGTCTGTGCAAGTCCGTATCAGGAGGCTGATGGGTCTGCGATGGAGTGCTGAAGAATCTACTATGAAGGCCGGAGAGCCTACATCAGAAGGCTGAAGAGTCCCAGGCAAAAGCCGAAGAGTCTGCTGTGAAGACTGGAGCTCCTCCGAAGAATCAGCAGCCAGTCCTTTCTCAGTTCCCTGTTTTTTATGCAGTCTACCCGCTCTGCAGGCGTGGGGGTGGTCCTCTGCACACACACCCTCTGCATGCCTGCCTCTTGCACAGGCTCAGGATGTATACAAAGTAAGCACCCTGCCTCCTTGCTGAGTCACTTAGCCAAACCTCTAGACTCCCCAAGTTGACACAATGTATCAACCATAACACATGCTATAGGCATTGCCCTTGATTCTTTGCTTCTCCCACCTTGGTAAATTGGTTAGTGAAGTCATCAGCTTGTGTTACTCATTGTATTTTAGATTAATTGCCTCATTTATGTTATACTCATTTAATTTTCTGGTGATTGATAATTTGCTGGTGATTGATAATTCCCCCTCTAAGGGTGTTGACAAACTTTAGCTTCAAAAGGGCTAGAGAGGGTAAATATAGAATCAGCTCTTTTTGTGGGGGGTGGTAGTGGGAATTGAACTCAGGACTTCACACTTGCTAGGCAGGTGCTGCACAACTGAGCTAAATTCCTGGCCCAAGAGTAAATATCATACCCCTCCATTACTTTTCCTTCCCTTTTTACAAATAATGTAAAAAACCATTCTTACACCAGGGCCATGAAAACTAGGCTATGTTCTATAGTTCACCAACCACTTGGATCTTTATTAATATTTCGGTAAATACATACATGTTCTGATTAAACTTTATGTGGTACAGGGAGTAGATTTTAATATCGTTGCATAGCATAATTGGTATGCATTAAGTAAAATAGCTATGATAAGTTTTCTTGGTGTATAATTAGAGTCAAATAAAAAATTGAGAAGTGTGTTTTGCAACTTGGAACACTGTGTCTGGCATGTCTCTTAAGTCCCTGCATAGGAACTGAACTGAGCAAATATGTCAGGCAGCCCAGCTGTAAACTGACAAGCAGCTGATCCCAAGTTAGAGATTAGACACTTCAAAAGAAATGATAATTTCAAAGCTCTTGCTTTAATATTGAAAATCAGTCCGTTGCATTTAAGTCACTATTGAAAGAAAATAAAAAATATTAGAAAGCACTCTTTTCTATTATACAAAATGAAATATTTTTACTTTCAAAAAATAAATGGTAGAGCTCTACAGACATGATTCTGATAACAAAATATCTGCCTTCTAACTGAAAAAGGACCCATATGCACACATAAGAAATCCATCAGTCCATCCTGGGAGCTCTACCTGAAACCTGCTCCCTGGCCTATCGCCCGCTTCACCCCACGCCACCCTTCTTCCCTCCGTAGTCCTTTTTTCCCAGCACTGTCTGCTGCCTTTTCCTGTCAGCCTCCTCATGTGCGCTGTGGACCAAGTGGCCTTCAGAAGGTTGGGTCCCTCCACCACTTGAGAATAGGTGCTCTGTTGACTTCTCATAGCACCTGGAATAAACTCCAAAGTCCTCGCCTCCAAGGCCTCTAAAATTCTTCACACATTTATCATGGAGGCTCTTCTGATCATCTGGTGTCAGCTCAGGTGAAGCCATCTTAAAAAGACCTCCTTTAGCTGTTCAACTCATTTAGCACAAAAGCTGCATCTACACAGCACACTGGCTTCCCTCCTTATAATTCACGTTATTTGATACTGTTACTGTTACTTATTTTATAACATAGTTTGGAAAGAACAGGAGATTGTCTGGATTTTCTCTACTATGTTATCTAGCCCTATGCCTCACACTTAGTCTATTCTCAATAAGTGTTCGTGAAATTTAATTAACCAATCACTTAAAATGAAAGTCTTCCTTTAACTTGTCCTGTAAACACATAAGCACTGTTAACAATTTAATATATAATTTTATATTTCCTATGATTATATTTTTTATAAAATTATATGTTACTTAGTATTCTACATTTTTCCCCATTAAATGATGCATGTAAGTTTTCTTTACCTAATATGTACAACTCTAAGAACTGTATTTGAGGTATAATTAAAGAGTGTAAGTCAGGGCATAGCCCACTTCTTTTTTAGAGAACATAGAGCACGTAGAAGGAAACCAGAGTAGGTTATTAGCACCACAACAAAGGTGGACTTGGTCTGTCTTTGAACTGTCACACAAGGTGAAAACAAGTGTGTTATCATAAAAAGGTGAAGGAACCAGATAAGAAAAACCATGGAATTCGTCTACAGTCTCTTTCCCCTCGATGTAAGGCCTACTGAGAGTTGGACCCCAGGATTGGTGTTCTGCTGAGTAGGGGACCCGTAGAATGTGCCATTCCAAACTATAATCTCTACAGTAACCATAACCTCTCATGGTAAACACATTGCCATATTTGACTGGTCACTTTCTGCTCACTGGTCTTTATTTTGTTCTGATCTACTGACCTTGCTTGTAGAAATCCTCTGAAGATTCTTTTTTATAGAATCATCTGCAACATCAGTTCTCTGTAGATCACACAGCTTCTATTTCATGAGGCAGCTCCTCCTACTTTTCCCATTGAAAGAGATCAGCAGCCAGTTGAACAAAATTAGTTGGCCCCGCTAAGTGAGGATAACTAATGAAGCAACACTTGACTTCACTTTGGCTTTGAGTTTCATCAATGAGAAAAGAAATGAGATTAGTTAAGTGATCCACACAATGTTCAATACCATATCTGATTTCGTTACTGAAGGTCACAACCCTGGTCAATTCTGTGCAAACTGATTAGGATGATAGTGATCACTTAGCAAGGTAAATTAATGAGAAAATGTTCATCTTTATAACATTTTCACCTGGGAATTCAGTGACTACATTAGGCCTTCCTAACTTCAACCACATGAATGTACAGCTTCTAAGTGATAAAATGTCATGCCACTCAGAAAATAATGGAGAATGATGTATGCTAAATTAGATATCCCACTAGGACATCCCCAAACAGCTTGTTGTCAAAACACGACTTGAATTCATTAGCACAGACTTTGTAAAGTCAATTTCACAAAACTCAATAAATGTGATTTGGTGACTTTTCACTTCATAAACACAACTACAATTCCTTGGCAAGAGAAAACTATAGATAAATTGAAGAAGTGAGTTTAAAGGAAATCATACACTTGTTTGGGTTGAGTATTTGGGACAGTAGATCCCTACTCCTTCAGAAAGCAATCTCATTTTGCATCTCATGATGCTGACGTTATATACTTTTGCACAACTTAGTGGGAATAGGCAAAGGAAATAAAACTGTCATTTCATTTATTGAGCAGTTAATGTGTTTCAGACCTATACCAATAGGAAAGTTATGTAGTGATTCTATGTCCATG